AGTATCTCCTTCACTTGAAGAATCATCTTCAGACTAAGAGGTAGACAAGCCTTTCTTCTCCTTCTTGAGAAAGGTAGGGCACTCAAATTTGATGTGTCCAAATCCCTCGCACTCATAGCATTGGATACCTTTGTTAGATTTCTCTTCAATTTTGGCCTTTCTTCCAAAATTCTTCCTTTTGTTGATGTCGGAGGACTGAGTCTTGACATTTGATCTTGACTCCCCGTCCACCCTCTTTAATACACTACAACATTTGTTGTCTTTGGCAACACTTTTTTAGATAACATGTTAAAATTGTTGCCTAAAATTCGTATAGGCAACAATTTATGGCTGTTGACAAAAATATAATAGCCACCCTTGATAATCGTTACCTAAAATACTTTTGGGGACGTTTTTGGAGCGTCACTCTTTTATTTTTTGGGCAACAATTGTTAACAGTGCCCTTAACTACTTTTGGGGACGATTTTGGAGTGTCATTATACTATTTCTTTAGGAATGTTTGATAATTGTCCCCTTAAATATTTATGGGGACATTTTTAAATTGTTACGTTAGTTTTAATAAAAGGCTACATTCCTTCAATGTGCATAAAAGTTTAGCAACATCGAATTTTTGGTGGCAATCTTCCCTCCAAACTTATACATTAAAAAATAAATATTTTTCTCTAAACATTATTAAAAAAAATTTAAATATAAAAAATCATCTAATATGTAATATAATAATATACTACTATAGAATAGGAAAATGCAAATTATACACATGTCTTCTAAAAAAAATTAAACTGATCAACTCATTATTCTCTATAATATATAAAAAAAATTAAAAAAAGAAAAAAGAAAATAAAACTGAAAAGGAAAACTGAGAGGTTCTCCTTCTTCAAACATTCCACCGTCGAAAACCCACCGTCTGCTCAAAACCCACCGTCTGCTCTCACCAGCACCAGACTAGAAACCACTTCCGGCGAATTTCTCCGATTTTCAATACTTGACGATGACGCCTTCTGATCCGCCATTTTATCCCCTTCCCACATATTAACCGCTCACTCTAGCCCCGTCGCGCCACCTTTGAGACCATCGAAATGACCGTCCTTTCTTACAATGACGATGTATTCCATTTCATCTCTTTTACTCTTTATTACATTTGTGTTTCTATTTTATCGTTTTCTGATTCATTCTCTCTAGGTCGTTCGTGCGAGCAACGTTGTTTTTTGAATGAGGTGTTTATTTGTATGTGTTTTCAATTAGGTTGCTAATAGGGCTCAAGGAAAGAGCATATTGGAGGAACTTGAAGCTGATGGGGTTGATACTTCCTTTATCGTTGTAAGATTCGGCTTGTGAGTTGTTTAACTGTTTGTTTATTGGTTTTGGAACTTGGAATGGATAATTGCTTTTGCTTTGGCTGCATATCGGATGCCACCTATCGAATCAGGATCTGTAGACTTCGCCGAGTTTGAATCTCAGCTTGTGTACCTTTTGATTGCCTTACAAAATGTTGGTGTTTGTATGCCTTTACAGTTGATGTCATCATATCTGAATCGATGGGTTATGTTCTTCTGCGATAATCTATGTTCGATTCTGTTATATGTGCTCGTGACCGCTGACTTAAACCCACAGGAGTAATGTAAGTATTGTTTTCTTCTAAGATATTTATGGAAATGAAGTTTTTCTAACATTAACATTCATTTTGTGAATGAGTAAATCTTTGGTGGCTATTGGTGTTATGTTACAGTTGCAATTGATTTTAAAATATTTATTTTGTAGGTATTCCAGTCATGCTCATATGTGGATGGCGCGTATCAGGACTGAAATAGTAGAACAAAAATTGGATGATTACCAATCTGCTATGGTTGATTGGCACAACTTTTTTGATGAAACAGAAGCCTGCCATGGTGTTGATATGAGCACCTTGGCAAAGCCTTCTAAAGAGGAGCAGAGGAAATACTATCTACAGGTAAGTTTTAAACTTAGTACACTTTAAGTGTATTTGTTATGTTTCAATTAAATTAAATGAAATTTTGGTTATGGTTGGAGTTGTTGGCTCTACATCATGTGCTGACTTGTAGAGACACAGGCTCGACATGCTCTACAGGGCTGAACAATTCAAATCATCATGGGAGAATAGTAGGTGTAGGTGATTTGTGTCAGCGTGGTTGGTGTCGTATGAGTAGAGCTTTAAACAAGAGTCAAACCCCTTATTAGAAGTGACCAACAACAGAATCTGCAGTACCAGTAGCATAAGAGCTCAAGCTTCAGGTGATAAACATGCTCCAATTCTCATGCTTGTGTGTATGTGTGTTTTTGACATGTACGAATGTTTAACATGTGTGTATCTTCACCTTGGAAAAAAGGAGAATTTGCTTGACTTTATAAATTTTGGTATTGACAGCAGTCAACACAGGCTAACACCTGCCAGCCGCCAGATGACTATATTCTACGGAGGTCAAGCTCATGTTTTTGATGATATCCACCCACATAAGGTCATGCCCCTATTCTTGACATGGTATGCATTTTGTGAAATACGGCATGGAATTAGTTTGTATTTATGAGTTAGCACGTTGAAATAAGCTCATGTACGAATATTGGCAACAACTTTTTCATCTTCATGATGCTGGTGTTGACCAATCTTTTATTGATACTACTCTTCCTGTGTTTCTTTATAAAGTTATTATTGGATTGAAGAACCCTTTTGATTGTGCTATTTGTTTGTGTGAATTTGAGCTTGAAGATAAGCTTAGGTTGTTGCCGAAATGTAGTCATGCTTTTCATATGGAGTGTATTAATACATGGCTTTTGTCTCATTCTACTTGTCCTCTTTGTAGAGGTAACTTGCTTCATGATTTCAATACGAACAATAGTTGTTCACCTATTGTTCTTGTTCTAGAATCTGGTAGTGATAGTTCTAGGGAAAATGTTCCAGAAAGAGATATTGTTAGTGTTAGTGTTACCGCTACTGCTATGGCTACTACTGCTATAGGTCCAGGTGGTAGTGTTCTTGGTAGGACTAGTTCTGTTATGACAACGAATTTTGTTACGACAAACATTTAATATCATGGGGACACAACTTGCAACAACATTAACTTGGAAATATTAGAATACGACAGACATTTTATGTGGCAGCACTACAATTCACTTCTCAATTTTAATATACCATGACTGCAATGATTTTTACCCGTCATATGCTATAACTCTTCAGTTTCCTTAAGTGCATTGCATCGTCAATTTCCTTATTCAATTGTCGAATATACCCATTATTAAATTAAGCGAGTTTGCGTTATTCCCATTATGGTGTGATTTCCGGTAACATTGTCTTTGAATCAAAGCTTATCTGGATAGGATCCACTGAATGGGTTGAACAAAACCTTATCAATCTTCGTTCCAAAGCTGTAGCATACCTTAATGTGGATTGTCCTGTTCAAGGCCCTGGTTTCTTTGTTGGCTCAACTCCTCAGCTAGACAGTCTTACTCGCGAGGTCACAAAAAAGGTATTTTAAGTAACAATCATTTACTAATGCATATCCAAACGTGCATAAGAATAATTCTTTACGCTCAAACACATACACTTTGATTGCTTTTGTATTTTAGTAATTCTAAATTTTAATCTGCATTTACTTTAATTTCAGGTCAAGGATCCTAACTCTAAGGGTGTATCAGTATACGAGACATGGTCTGCTTCTGATGAAGGCAACAATGTAATGCTTTTGTTACTGTTTTTCAAGTACTTGTTTGCATTTACTGATTATGCATTTATCGTCGATTCAGTAGTGTTGTTTTAATAGCGTGTGCGTGTGTACATATATGATACTTGACATGTATATGACAACCACAGTTTAACGCTATTAAAAAAGCGGGTTCAGTTTTGTTATCATATTCTCATTACTTAGTTGCTTTTTGGTTTGTTGGATTGCAGATTCAAAGGCTTGGTAGAGCTGATTCTGATTTTGCTCCGTTTGTGCAACATGCAGGGGTTCCATCTGTTGATGTGTATTACAGAAAAGGTACATACCTCAATTAATATGAACTAAAGGATTCTGTTTGAATTATAGAAATTTATGCCACAGTACATGTAGAATGATTGGAAAGAAACAAAGCCCTAGTCTAGGACTTACAAGGAACTTAGTATATGGTGAGGTTGATATGATTATACACTAATATCTTTCCCTTTTGCCCCCAGATTTTCCTGTCTATCACACTGCTTTCGACTCCTATAACTGGATGGCAGAATATGAAGATCCGTTCTTCCAGCGCCATGTTGCCGATCAGATTTCTAGCATAAAATGATTTTCGTTTGATAAAATGTTAATCCATGCAGCAATCATAAGATTTATCTTGTGTTTTTTGTTGTATTAGTTACTGGTATTTGGGGCCTTCTAGCTCTACGCCTGGTCGATGATTATGTTCTTCCGTTTGATTATTTATCATATGCAAATGAGTTACAGGTAGGCATTTATTTGGAATTTAATTGCAATTTACAATTTTAATTTGGTTTCTACCAGAAAATGAAGAGACAATATCTGTGTATCTATGAAGTCATGGAATGTGAACAACCTGGATCTAGTCAACATTCTTATTCTCCAAAAATAACATACATAGTATTTAGCATATGATTTTTTTTATTATATTATATAGCTGATTATTTTGACTTTTATATTCACATAGGACACTTCCCCTTAGCCATCTTCAATACTTTATACTTATATATATACCCCACCTCACAGTACTATAAAATAAAATAAAGACTATATATTAATATCTTATTATAAACTAATAATGATGCAAGTTGTTAAGCATGTCCAAAAAAGTTTCCAACACATAGTAATTCTGGTTCTTTTCTTTGATCAGTATCATTCAAACATGTTTCTACATCTAAACTAATTTAAGTCTTTTTCAACATTTATGTCAATTTGCATCTATTTTTCTTGTTTGATTTGTGTATTTGTGTATAAGATAAGATATTTTTCTGTTATATCATAATTATTATTAGCTAGATAGATCGAGGTATACTTATGAATTATAATAATATTAGTATCACAGAGAAATTAAATCAACAAGAAATTGACATGGGAACTGCTGCTCAAAGTTCTTCAGAAATCTATACAAGTGATAGTGAAAAGGGGTTTGCAATTGATCATCACTCTTCTGGTTCACCTGAATTAGATGCAGGAGAAAAGTTTGTTCTTGTATCTCATGGTTAGTAGTGTTCAAACTATAGTATGTTATTGTTGTTACTATGTTGTTGATTAATTTAGTATATGGTTGTGTTTGTAGGATCATGGTTACACTGTGGTTATCATTTGACAACATCTATTGTTGGACCTTTGATTCTTACACTTCCATTTACATTCACTCTTCTGGGTTGTTTTGGAGGAATGATTTGGTTGATTCTGGTAGGAGTTATCACATTCTATTCGTATAATCTTTTATCGCTTGTCTTAGAACATCATACTTAGCTCGTTCGTGGCCAGATTAGATATTTTAGGTTAGTTTCTATCTTCAATTTCCTTTACTACTTTTCTTTTGTTTTTATCATTGATTAGATCACCGCCGAGGTGTAGCGCAAGTGATTGATGAGCTACTCTGATTGTTGACACCGACACGGCGGACACGTCTTGTTTCAGAGGCGTTGAAAGACTCGTAACTTGGTTGAAAATGTTGTTGCAGGACCTAGATGGACAAGATACTACATAGGGCCTCTTCATTCAATTTATCATATGCTTTGGGACAGTAATTGGTGGTCCTCTTGTTGGAGGAAAGAGTCTCAAGGTAGTAACATGAAAAGGGTCATTTCAATTTTCCCTTTTATAGCTTTTATGAATTTTTCAAAATTTTCTTAGATATAATAAAAATGTTGACTTAGATTGGTAGAAACTTCAGGTCAGTTTATAGATATGAAAAGGCGATATAAATGATAAAATTCAAGAGGACGACATAGATGATGGATTCCAAGAGGATATTGCAGGTGATGAATTTCAAGAGGACGACATAGATGTAGATGATGAATTTCAAGAGGACGATATAGATAGTGAATTTCAAGAGGACGAGGTAGATGAAGAATTTCTGGAGGACGACATATGTGATGAATTTCAAGAAGACGATATGGATGATGAATTTCAAGAAAACAAACTTGAATGAGTTGGATGATGTCATTTTTTTGCTTGTAGTTGAAAGCATTAAACTTGAACTATGTTTTTTTGTTATTTTGCTAGGGTCATACTTCAAAATATTAAACTTATTATTATAAATAATGTTACGATAGGCATTTTGTATACTGTCGCTACTGCGAAAATCGGCGCCGGCTGAACAGAAGAGTCGCCACTGTGCGTTATTTATCCCACGGGAGGGAAAGGAAACGCTCAGAGTAAACCTCGCACAACACGGGAAAGGTATGGTCATCGCAACCAAAACCTGGGTTCGGGAGTCGGTTACGCAAGGGGAAGGTATTAGCACCCCTCACGTCCATCGTACTCGATGGGATCCACGCTTGTTTTCGGGTATGGATTGTTATTCTATCTACTCTACAGGTCAGGGGTTAAAAGAAAAGAAAATGAAAATAAAAATGACTCGGCAAAGTATCGCACTTCATGCCTACGTATTCCCGTCTGGAACGAGAAATCAGAGTCAACGTAGTTCGCCTACCTACGGGAAAGGAGGGGAAGGTTGCTCGCTAGGATATCGCATCCTATGCCTACGTACTTCCACACAGCATGGAAGATCAGAGCAAACGTAGTTCGGGCCACGTACGACACAAGCTTGTCCTTGATTGATTTTATTCCTTCTGAAAAAGGTTTTTTCTGATTAGCAGTCCCGGCGGACAAAAATGACGCTTTGATGAGTTCACCTTCTTTTACGGAAGAAGTGTCTTTTATTGTGTTGGAAATCTTTATGTGTTTTTCTGTTTGTTTTGAGAAAGAAAGAGACAGAACTCTAACCTACGGTTGCGAAGGGAAACAAACTAACATAATGTTATCATGCATGGGTTAAGACCTAGTGTCTATCATGCTCCTCTCTTGCACAGAGAGAAACAGAGATCCTACGGGATAGGCAGAAACAGAAACAATATCAAATATGTACAGTAAAGCAGTAAAATGCATGGATGCAACAGTACAAGCGAGGCAAGGGAGTCCCACTCAACCTCGAACCTAGAAAACAATAGGCAAAAGTGAACAGGCTTCACTTTCAACCCAACAGGGTAAACAGCAAACAATACAGTCCGGGAAAACCAATCAATACATCAGCAAATGAAATACAGCAAAAGAAACAGCATCAGCAGCTCTGAATCAACATCTAGCTTCAAGCAATCTCCAATCAGCTACAGGCTTCAACAAGCATCAATCTCCATCTTCATGGCCTTCAGGCAAGGGCTTTGATTATCAGTCTTCTGTAGGCAATGGCTTTTCTTCAAGTCTCCAATCTTCAAGGATGAACATCAGTCAACCAGATGAGGTGAATGAATGTTAGACAGTTAATTACCTACCAAGGGTGGTTCATCAACTGTTAACATTAAACAGAAAGTTTTCTCTCAAAAGTTCTATCTTTCAAATACATTCACTGATCCTTCCAAAGGAAGAAGGTGGATATTTGAAAGAGACTTTGAATCATAGAGAAAGGATAGAGGCAAACAAAGCCATCTATGTTTTAGAAGCAAGCTTTCTAATCTAGAGCTCTGCCTAGCTCCTAAACCCTAGTCTCCTCAGCAGCTGCTAGCAAGGACCTCCTCTCCAACTCTGGCAGTTGATCTTCAATCTCTGGATCTCCAATGGTCTTCATCACCTCAAGTCCCCAGACAATCCCAATACCCAAGCAAGCAAGCAATAATCCCCAGAGGGCACACCACACCAGTTAATCAGATATACAGCATATCAATAGCAGTAGGGGAATCCTGACTTTTTCTAAGGGATCTAATAACTACCCATAGCCCCTATAGTCCCATAACTAAACTAGTTAAATCCTAAGTCCTAAGGGAAAGAATCCAACTTCCTAAGTCATCACCTAAAAACCCTAATTGGTTCACATTGTTCAAGCCTACATTAAGCACCTAAAATTAATTCCTAAAAATGGGAACTAAATTATTTCTACAAGTTCAATATCTCATCTAAGCAACATAAAAAGAATGAACAAAAAATATTAAAGCATTTAATAGAACAAAAATTACTAAAATCATGCATGAAATGAAACTATTTAAAATGCCATTTATTTGGAAAATATGGGAAAAATATGAAATAAAAATAAAAATGCAATTTTATTTAATGACAATTTTCTACACATCCTAATGAAAATGATGTAAAAAGAATGAATTAAAAATGATTTTTTATCTATTTATTATGAATTTCTTAAAGTTGGTAAAAATTAAGGTGAATTAAAAACAATTAAATCAATTAAAATGATAGGGGGGGTACCAATAGAAAACACGCTCAGTTCAAAATCCAGGATGGGCCAGCAAACGGGGGTGCGCGTAGCAAGTTGGCATTAGGCCCAGCTTGAGTCAGAATTAAAGAAAATAAAAAACAAGCAGGGGGTGCATTCAGCATTGGATTCACGTTCAAATTGATTGGGCTTGGTACTGGGGTGGTGGGATTAGCAAAACACACTCAGGCCCGCCCGTTTCAATTAATGAAACGGTGCGTTTAGGGCACCTACAGCTTCCCTCCAAATCTCAGAATCAAACGAGAGCCACACGATGGGCTCTGAGGTCAAAAGTCTAACACACGATGGATGGCCACGATTTCGTCTCCTACCTTGAATCCATGAGAACTAGGGTTTCTGCCATGAATGCTCATGCACGAACCAACTTCCACCAATCTGTTCTCTCTCCACAGTCCATGAAACGCCACGATATAAACATGAAAAATACTCTAAATCTCTCCCTCTATACGCCTATGGTCAAAGTTTGCTTTGAAACTCAACAAACCACTCAAACCGAGCGCAACAATTTCTGGTCACCATGGAAATACTCTGCAACTTACCAACATAATTCTCAATCAAACCTAGACTAATCTCTTCTATGACTAATGGTGATCATTCTGCGCTAACAACCTAAAATTATAATGCACTATGCCACGAGTTCTACATCCTAACAGTTCTAACAACCTGCTAACAATCATCACCAAACCACTCCAAACTCATCCTAATTGCTCTATTAACATCCTACATCATATCTAAACTGACAAAACCATGCTAAACTAACTAAATCAAGCTGTGGCAGAGAAAATGCACCTGGTGTGAAATCTTGTGGATGATGATGAAACTTGTGGATCTGAGGCTTTTGAGGCTTGGATCTTGATCTACAATTGCACTACTTGATTCTGTATGCAACACTTTGAGGAGTCTTGCACTGGATCTTGAATTCCAACTGAATTTGCAGCTTGTGTGTTCTTGAAGAAAGTGCACGAAATTGAGCTCTAACCACCAAATCTTTGATTCAATTCTGATCCAGGATGATGATTGAATGTAGGAGGATCAATGTTGATGAGAATTGATGAAGATTTTGGGAAATTTGGAGAGAATTGCAATGAGAAAGAATGAGAAAACTTTGGGAAATTTTGGTGAAAAATGAATCCAACCCTTGCTCAATTCTGATTTCATGAATATATAGGGCTCACATGAACTTTCTAGAACCATCTTGCCACATTCCCTTGCATTCCACATTGGTTGATTTTTGAAATGTTTCTTCAAATGCAAGTAACCATGAATAACTTTGATTTTTTCCACTAAGCTCAAAAATGTACTTGAACCATTGTCTCTAGAATGTCTTTTCCATTCAAAATCATATATTGGAAGTCTCCATTTGGACTTATAAATCTCTCAAACCATTTTTCACTTTGACTTTCTTTAAGTTATAAGCCATTTTAGTTCAAATTTAACCAATCATGCAACTTCATGTTATGAGCTTTTCCAACAATTTATGACCTTCTTTCTAGACTCAAAATGTCATTTGGAGCAAGTTTGATGTTGTAAGTTTTTCCATTTGAGGCCTTCTTGTATGAGTTTTGGACATAGGTTAAAATGACCTGTAATTCACAAATGCCCAAAATACCCTTTGCTTGCCAAGACCATAAGTTGAGTTCCACACATCATATGAAGGCATACTATACCATTATAGAAAGCTAAGACAATGAGGAACAATTATTATGTTGACCAGAAATTCATTTGAAATCTCCTTGAGGGGTAAAACTAGCTTGGAAGTCAAGTCACTTTCACAGACAGAATTTCAGATACCTCAGATGACCTGTAACTTGCAAGGACCATAACTTGAGTTCTATAAATCTCCTTGATGTCTTCCACCACTCAAATTAAAGGTCTTGAGATCCTCTACAAGTTTCATGTTGGCCAAGAAGCCATTTGAAACTAGCATTTTGGCTTATCTTGCTTGGAAATTTGACCTAAACTAGGGGATTTTACACAGAAACCCTAATTTAGAAACTCCTCTTCTCCTTGATTTCTCTTGAATTCT